TAATCAAAATGTACACTTAGTTCACTCTTAATAGATGGTTTTTTTAATTAACCTGGATATCCAATTTGTTTTGCAAGCCGACTAATCCTAGGGCTTAGCATCAATGGCGTGAATTTGAACCTGGTAGCTCCAGACAATTTTTCTTGTAGAACGAAGACTTCCACCTCAAATCAGATTATCCTAAAACAGTGTGATGGTTTTACACGATTATTTTAAAAAGTTTAAAGTCTGAAAACAGCTTCAAATATGTGGTTTCTGCAAGACAAATACAAACCTGCAAATACTTGTGGTTTGATGGCTTCTGCCTTTTTCGACTTGGTTGGAGATGAAGAAATGAAAATGAATGGAGTTGCAGACGTGTGGATTTGTTATCAGATGCAATCCAAGTAATGTTGGATAGATATTCACAATAGATGGAACTGAATGGATATGGATGTCAATCCTACTTGTTGCAGCCATTCCTTGGCAGATTCTGTGCCTTGGTAATTAAAGATGTAACAAGTACGGATTGAATATGAACTAGAACATAAGATCCGGCTTTACAAGGATAAAATATATAATGTATGAAATAATAATTTATTTTTATAATTTTTTTATTACAATAATGTATCTTTAAATTATTCTTTATTGAAAAATTTATCAACTATTATAGTTTCCTGTAAAATACAGTGTCAAGGGCTGAGATGTACGAAACTCAACTTCTTTTCGTTAGCAGGGATTCACAACTTATTCTGTTAACTGTACATGATAGTTTAGTGGTTACTCATTCAATAATCTTTTACGATGACGCTTTATGTAAAAAGCAAGTTTTTCTGATCTTATCTCACTTGTTAAAAAAACAATCTCAAACCAAAATCTTCTCAATCTTTATAGACATTAATCCACATACAGAAAAGGTTAGGTTTTTTGGTACATCTAGTAGGACGTCTCATGCTTGTTCTTCCATGAAACAAGATTGGGAGTTAAGGTTATAAAAAAGATGTAATGTGCTTACGTCTTTTTTGTTCTAACCTAAGTGTTTATCTTGCGTTTATCATGACTAGGACCGGACATGACTGTCTAGTGGCCAACTTGGTTGTGTATGATGTGGAGATGGTTATGGTGGTAAACAGTGGTGAATATGGAGGTAGAAGTGGTTGATGGATGATGGTAGGTAGTCGACGATGGTGGAGATGGTAGTTGATAGCAGCCAACTTTTGTTCTCTATGATGTGGGGATGGTTGATGATGGTTGTAGTGGTGGTAGATAATGGTGGATATGGAGGTGGAAGTGGCCAATGTGGAGGTAGAGATGATGGTTGATGCATATGAGCTAGAGGTGTTGATGGACGATGGTAGGAAGCCGATAACGATGATGAGGATAGGTGGTGGTTGGCAGTGGTCGACGGTGATGGTTGTGGAAGATGTAGACATGGTGGACAGTTAGTCATAGTGATAGTGATAGACATGGAGGTGGTAGTTGTAAAGGAGGTGGTGGGTGGTTGTAGGGTTGTCGAAGGTGGTAGAGTAGTGATTGTTGAGATGGTCGATGTTGGTTATGAAACCAAATACCATTAGGGTTATATTAAATAAATGTAATTGTTTTTGTTCCACCTGGTCCTTTTCCCATACTGTATCAAACATGAAACGAGTTTTATTTTTTCCAGTCCCATACACCAAAGTTTGCCTAAATGACATCATTCAAAACAAATCCTTCGTTATCTAAACAAACATTCAATACAAATCTACTTTGTAATACAAATATTTGTAACATGTTAAAACTAATAAGACAAAGTGTCATTGCATAATAAACCAAAGTATGAATACATAAATTTCAAACTTGAGTGATGATTATGTAGTTATATTATATGACATGGTTTTTTTATGGTTTCAAGTCCTATTGAGTGAAGAGTCTGATTCTATATCGGTTTCTCAATTAGAATTGCTAACCACAAGGATGGTGTCCGATTGGTTTAAACTTGAGCTCCAAAGGTCAAAAGTGTTTGGAGGTACCAGGTTCGAATCCAATGAGGAATAAAAATCTTCTTATGGCCACGAAAGTTCAAATGCGGTGACTCCGGACTACCCACGAAACAGATGGTCATCTTGGGGTTAGTCGACTCGTATAACGTGTTGGATATCCATGTTAATAAAAAAAATTAGAAATGAAAATTTATTGTTGTGGAATTTATTTGGCTTCTTTGACATTAATGTGATGTGTTATTATTATTGTTGAAGAGTTCGTGTGAATAAGTGTATGTGTTTGGCATGAATTATGATCTTTAACTGCAATTTTATAAAAAATGTTACTTGTTTTAAAAGCAAACTCTTGGTCAACTGAATATTTATATTTATACCTATATTATTATTAAGAGATTAATCGTATGAGAATATTATAGATAGTGATAATTATGAGAATTATTATTGTAAGGTATTGTTTTACATGATATTTTTCTTTTAAGATTTGAATTTAATATAAAAATCAACGTATGTTTATTTCATATGTATAAGGTTCACAATATAAAACTTTTCAGTTGTATTTATTGTTTCACGAATACATAAATATTCGCATTGTAAAAACAAATATAATATAAAACAAACACATTGAGAAAAAAAGTATATGTTAATTAATACATTAAATTCACGTTGTAGATGGAAAAAAAAATGAAATATTTAACCACATGGATGGTGCCTGATTGGTTTGAACTTGGCTCCAAAGGTCAAAAATACCAGGAGGTCTCAGGTTCAAATCCAATAATGAATAAAAACCTCATTGTGGTCACAGAGATTCAAATGTGGTGACTCCGGGTCATCTACAAAGCAGATGGTCGTACTGGGATTAGTCGATTCGCATAGCGGGTTGGATATCCAGGTTATAAAAAAATCAAATAGTTTATTATCTACCGGTTTCTTATGGTTATCATAATTTTATAGATTCTTGAATTAATATTTCATTATTATTAAATGTTGGTTTTAATTTTTAATTAATATAATTACAACAAGTAATGCAAATATTGTTATGTGACATAACTTGTTAAGGGACATAATTATTGTGAATTTAAAATTAATTTTTAGGGTTTCTTGGTGTAGAATTTTCTAAAACTTGTAATAAACACGAGGATTGATGTTAACTTTTATTAAATTGTAATTTTAGGGATTTTCGAAGTATTTGACTTTTGTTTTTGCATCTGAATCAAAGATTTGTTACGATGCAAGAAGTCTTTCCAAATCAGACATTCTTTCAAATATTTTGACAATTGCTGAATGGTTTGGTGTCGAATGATTAAGTGGTTAGAATGATTAAGAGGCTCTCATGATATAGTGCAAAATGAAATAGAATTGTTTAGTAATTGTGTACAAATAAAATTAGGGCTCTTAATGGTTAAGGAAGATCCAGGATACAAAATCATTCAGAGGGTTTTAGAACCATTAAGAGACATACTTTTTTCTGCCAAACAAGATTCACCTCTTAACGATTCAGGGGTTATCTCTTAATGGAACTATTAAGAGGTAAACAAATAACCCCTTATACTCATTTTTATTTCAGTTTGTTTCAAAATAAGTTTTATTTTCCAATGTTACTTTTAATTATGAGATGAAAAAAAAAATATATTTCTATTATCAAAGGTAAAAACGTTATTTAATTAATTAAAAATGTAATAATTATACAATCCTAAAACTATGTGCTATTTTTATATTGATAACTGGAGAACTATCAAGATTGTGTAACATGTCCATTGTATATCGGAAAAATAAAATATTTTGTTACAATAATTCAGAAAAAAAAAAAATTTGAATCTAAAATCTAAGTCGGACCCAATGAGACATTTAATTTGATTGTAACACTGTAAGGTGTTTAGGAATGTACCTTGTGGAATCTAGTGAAAAGCCTGATGTGGCACTTAGAAACCGAACACGGTTTCCTCTGCAGTTAACCCACACACGAACACACATAGATCCTCCACCAAGTGCTAGCTCAAAAGAACCCTAAGTCTAAATATGTGTATATAGACTGAGCTAAAATTCAAAGAATTGAATTCATTCCCAAACTGAATTGGCCTAACACCCTATTTATATATATTGATATCAATAGTCACTCTATATCGTTAAACAGGGTTTGATATTTATCTGTAAATAATTATATAATTATCTAAAACTTTAAATAAGTATGCTTATTTACAGATAATACCATGTAATTATCATAATTATGTTTTAACATATATTCTATAATTATTTTTCAAGAATAACTATTTAATTGTCAGTCATGACTTTTGGGTTACTTTCAAATGAAAGCAAACATATTCTTTGTATACGTCCCTGTAAGTGTACATACTCCTTAACAGTATTGTTGTGTGACACGTGTCGTGAGCATATAATAACTTACAAACATAAATCTCTTTACAACATTATACAAACATTCATGATTTTCATGATTATAAACATGTATTAGCACGTTTTCAATGATTCCTAGATTTTTAATGAAAATAAGGTTTCTAACGGAACAAATACCCTTTATATATTAATATTATAACAATGATAGTTTTATTATTACTACATTTCAATAAAAATTTAACTTTGTCAAATATAAATTATTACATTAATTAACAATATTTACATATATTTTAATTATTAAGAATTAAAATATAGAGTATATAGTTAAATGAAATTATGTTGAAATAAAAATATTTTTAATGTATTTAAAGGTTTAAATCAATGGTTTTAAGACACCTTTATCTACATTCTGAACGGTGGAGATCGGCTCTAGAGGTCCGGAACGCATCTTCCTATTTACCTTTTAGTTTGATTCCATACTTCTTGATGATTTGTTTAAAGAGTATCATGATTGTTTTTTGCCGCTAGTTTTATCTATAGAAGACTTTTGTATTACTTATTAATGGTGGTGGACTTTAAGCAGCCTAAGAGTCCCGTGGTTTTACTCTCGCCTTGAGAGGTTTCTTTCGCATTGTTACGGTTGTGACGTAACGCATGGTTAAGAATTTTAAAAGAACCATAACAAGAGTTGAATAGCATCAATTCTATCTACATTCATTAATAACATCACATAATGTGAACAAATTACAGACAACAACGTTTATCATCACAAATCAAAATGCATTTAATAAATTAATGCAAAGAAACAAGTACCCGGATGAAATACGGTTAAAATTTCGTTCTGCTCCACAACGTCAAGCCTTAACACAACAGTTGAAGCAACTTAATAAGCTTCTCTTGTTCTGCACCCGAAAAATCAACAATAAAACCAAATGAATACAAGAATTATGGAAACCGAAACAGACATCAGAAAATCAATGAAGTTTGAATCAAAGTCCAACGCCCCTTGTACTTGGGAGAGATTCAATTTTGGAAGCGGATACGGAAAATTTATTGAAGATATGACCACAACATTGCTCGTCGTTCCACGATTCAAGTTCACAATGCAGGGTTGAGAATTTTGTTCCAAAATAAGAGTTTCATTGACTTTAGAGAAAACAATCACATATTGGTAAATGGTGAAGTAGGGTTGGGTTTCTGTGCGACCACCCTGTTTTTGTGGGACCCGTGAGACCAGTTCTGAAGGCACAAAAACACACCAAACCTTCAAAACAGAAACACTATGAAGGTACAAAAACAAACCTTCACAGTGTTTTTGCTGAAGTTTCAATGTTTTTTGTACCTTCAGAGTATTTTTGCTGTGAAGCTTCAGTGTGTTTTTGTGGTTTCACAAAAACAGGCCGGTCTCGTATGATTCCAAATCTGGTGTAGTAAATATGACGCTGCTTACATTTGGAGAGTGCTGGTCCTGGCTGAAATGGTGATGGGGATCACTTGGCTGTGGTGTTGTATCAAGTTTGGGTTTGTTGGAAGAGATGAAGTCTTCTTCATTACCAATGCTAGTTCTTGATATCTCTCTCTTGTTCTGTTTCCTCATCTCTCTGATCTTTGAGAAATCCAAAGAGTAGTCTGGCAATGGTCCCTTCTGGTCCCAGTCCCCAAATTGAGGTACTGATAACCATGGTGCATTTTTCTAGACACACCATAGAAAATTTATTACTAAAAGAACCATTAAAGAACATAAAACAAATAACATTTATGTGAAAATTTGCTAGTTACATCAGAATGACACAAAAAAATCAAGAAAACACAACTAAGGGTTGCTGGTTCGGTAAAATGGAATGGGTTGTCACCAGATATGGATAATGAAGCATTACTCAACAAATTGTGTGTGTGTGTGTTGGGGGGGATGAAACTCATTTCCATTCACTGAAACGAACCAAGCACCCCCTAATCATACCCATCAAAGAAAATAGCTAGTTATGCTATAAGTTACAGAGAAATTAAAACGGCAACACATGCTCTATTACCCTTACGAAAGCAACGATGCTCTATTCCAAATATGATTTTCAATAATTGGATGCCATCACAAAGGGATAATCCCCATGTTTGTCCCTTCGGGGATATCCTATAAAATTGCTCAACTTAAATCCCACACCTTCTATTCAGATTGCTCTAATTTCCTTTTGAGTTTCATTCTTGCGAATGTACAGGCGGGATACTAAACGCGTTAGCTACAGCAGTGCAGAGACTCCACATGTTTCACTGTGGTTATCATTAACTTCTTTTAGATATTAGATGAATAAAACACAGTCCTGGTGAATTTTTTTGGTAGTTTCCTTGTCTTCTCCACCTCCTTTCATGGGTCCCATTTCCATGTTGAGAAAATAATTGGACAAAAGACCAATTCTTTTGTTATGAATAAAAGTAAGTAAATAGTACAATAGAAGGAATTAATTTTCTACCTTACACATGTCACATGGTAACTACTATAAACAAAACATCATTTAAAGACCCGTATATCAAATATAGATAACTTGTATGGTTTAATTTATTCAAACATGTACAGCTGGACGATTCATGCTTTGAAAAAAGGCCATTCTTTAAACACAAATCAAAATTGTCAATCCCCTCTTAAGGAAAAAGTAAACTACAAAACAGAAAAATTAAGCAATCATGACGACCACCTACTCCTGAAACCCCGTTTCCTCCCTAGAAATGAGAAAAAAAGAAGGAAAAAAAAACCTCCTAGATTCTTACACTTCAGACACTCAACCATCAGAGACCACAAACAATTTCAAACTTGTCCACAGAACAAATCATCTCCCCCGAAACGAGCCAAAAACCAGTTTGTGTACTAGATCGCCGGAGGAATAATCTACAAACATCAACCCTAGCCCAACCAAATAGCATCATCCTCTCGGAACTAAAAGAAAAAACTCTCTCATCGCTAATCATTTGTAAGAGTTCCAAAAAAAGGCGAAATCATTTCAAATACATCACAATTAGTAAAATCCGAAATTAAAACTCACAAAAGACTCATCAAAAATGGCAGAAAGCATAGGACCAGTGAACAAAATAACTACCTCATCCTTGAGGTTCTCCATGAAATCGGATCCTGGATTACACACAGAACAAAACGATCTTCTATATTCACCGATTCCGAATAACAAAACTGCAGAATCATTAACAGAATCACACACATCGAATCATGAATCATGCAGTTCAAAAAAGTTCTAGAGAGAGAGAGGCATACAGCGACAGGAGCACCAGAAGCAGGAGAGATGTTGTGTGGCTTGACGATGACGATGAGGACAATGAAGTTAGAATTATCTTCAGTCATCATCTTTATAAATAGTCGCATTTTCTGTACTTCCCACTTGTTATTATTAATGAGGCAACTTTCGGTGGTTAATTACGAATTTGCCACTGCTTTCCTTCACGCGCTCAGTCTGTCTGTCTTCCCGCGGATCCATTGCCATCGGTGTGGTCCTGTCCTGGATGTGGATGCTTCATGAAACGGGTCGGCTGTTGTTTCGTTACTTTTCCTAGACCAAATTACATTTTTAGTCCCTATACTTTGTTAACATTTACGATTTTAGTTCCTATGGTTTAAAAATTCTGATTTTAGTCCTTATGTTTTGTATTTCGTTGTTGTTTTCGTACTAATAAAAATTCTTTTCCTTTTCGATAACACAACAAAAGATTCTTTTACTTTATTTTCCCTTCGTTTCTTTTCTTTCTGTCCAAATTCAAGAAAAGCCCACTGCTGTCTTCTGTAGGAGTCTGGGTCGTGTCTTAGCGGGTGCAGGTTTCTTTTCTAGACAAACGATAATTCTTTTTTTTTTCTTCGACCTTTGTGCCTTTATTTATCTGTCACGTTTATATTCACAACCAAATGTGTCGTATTCTTTTGTGTTGTGTACTTAGCGGGTATACACTATACAATCAATGGGGGCTGACGTCTGTCCAATACCAGAAGGTCAAGACACGTTGTTCTTAGGAACCAATGCTAGAGCATCCCGGTTCGAGTCCACCACTAACGTTACTGTTTTGGTCCCTTATACTTTAAAGGTAGAAATTAGACCATGGACAAAAAATTGCAAACTATAAGAACAAAAACAGGGACGAAACCCATAATTTACTCTTTCTTTCATTTCCTATTTATTTATTATTTTTAATTTAATGAATGGTCAATATGTTAAAATGTTAAGATATAACTTTAAAAGTCATAATAAATAAGAAACCTTGTCGATGTTTAATGTTGTCGATCAGGTTAGACTTGAAAAAAGGAAAAGAAGGGTCGATTTAAACATGTCGGGATTTAATTTATAACAGACTCAACCATAAACCTGATCGTAAATCGAATATAAACTTAGCTCTGTAGTTTAAAAATAATAAATATAAAAAAATTTATTTTAATTTTAAAATAATATATAATTAATAATTCAAAAGGAGCAAAAAGCTGTTTTTGATTAAAGGCCCAAACATTAACTTAGGTGAAAATATTAAATTGAACTCATAACCTTGGATACCCTTATAGACATAAAAATCTAGCCGTGACAACGGGGGGTGGATGGTGCGGGTTTTTCTAACCCCCTGGTCCCCGGATGGTACGGGGATTAACATCTCGTCCCTGGTCAAATCCCAGACTGATCCCTGGTCAAACCCCATGAAAAGTATATGTTAAATTAAGTCTATCAGGGATCTTCGGACCCGACCTCGACCTCGGTTTGAGTAACATTCCCTGGCCCCACCCCAGGGACCCGTTTTAGCAAGGAATCCCCGTCCCCTTCCGGGTCGAATGAGCCGGGTTCCCCAACGGGTCGGAACAAATCACCATCCTTATAAATATCACTATGCCCAAACAGACTTTTGTTAAATTTTCTCATATTATTTTGATTTTATTATTTTTCTTCATGATTTATTATTCATTTCAATGTCAATTCATTTTAAAAATCGTTATTTTTATCTCAATTACAAAAACAACATATATCCATTTTAATGATCAATTCCAATTGAAAAAAAAAAACATTTTATTATTGAAATCGACACAGATGAGTTTTCTATGATCAAACCGTATTGACTTTCCCCCTTGATCAAACTGTAATTTTTTCTGACCTTTGATTCAATTTTAAAGGTACACCTGCTCGGTTTTGTACGTTTTGCATACCGAGAGTTATTACTTAAATAATAATATTATTATTATATACATAAATTATGTTATTAATTAATGAATACCAACTTATTTCATTTTATATAAACAAAATAAAAAATAAAATCACCCATTTTTATGTTGCATCTTCAAGGACTGTAGATCTTTATAAAAGTAAGGGTCATCGATCCTATCTTGGAGTTAAGTGAGGGTGGTCATAGAAAAAGGCAATATCGTACACCATACAAAGTACTTTTTTATAGCTATATTGATAAAAACTATTAAAAATTAATTTACATATATGAAGTATTGTTTATTGATGCATATTATTTAAAATTTAATATTACAAGTAATTTTGCGTAAGTACAACTTATTAAAGCTCCATTTTTAAATTTGTGTAACTAACTGCTGATAGACATAATTAAATACAGGATAAACATCTATTTTAAATATCAAATATATAATTAAGATAATCATTGAGTTCTAACATAATGTTTAATTGTTATTTTATAAAAAAAATTATATTGTTAAACTGAAAATAAATTACTTTGTTATTAAATCTAAATTAAATTATAATAAAAAAATAAATTAAAGAAGTTACACAAAAAAAAAACGAGATATATTAAATAGTTAATTTGATACGAATATCGATTTTTTTTCCAAATTTTTATGCTATCTCAAATTCATATTTCATTCAAAAGTAAAAACGTTATCGTTTTCTCAAAACCAAATAAAATCGTATTATATCGATAGAAATAAATAATAAAAACTAAACATTAAAATCAAGATTTATCTCGCTGCATTGCGCGAGTACCCTTCTAGTTATAATAACATAGGGTTTAATCATTTGAAAACTTCGAAATCTATAAGATCCTTAAGAACTTCTACCTTAAGATTTTGTTTTACATTATTATTTCTTATCTAAATATAATATTTCTGCATTGATTAACATATATTTATTTCACAATGTGTTTGTTTTATATGTATTCAGTTCACAATGTAAAACTGTAATACGTGTATTTTTTGTTTCACAAACACACAAAAAGAATTAACCATTATAACCAAATACATGAAAAACAAATACGTTACGAAACAAACATATGTTATCATTAAATTAAATTTTAGTCATAGATTAGAAAATCGTTTACAAATATTACATGTTTGTAAAAAAGATCTCTAATAATAATTATTATTAATATATTATAAAAAATTAACCCAAAAGTTATTTATATTATGACCCATCACCAACTCAGTCAAACAAATGACCTTGATAATCATTTTTACCAACCCTTAGGCATAGGGGTCGGCTAACCTATCATGAGTTACAACCAATAATCTTGATACGTCAAGCTTGTAGTGTAAATGATATAAACGTTTCTTTGTTTACTTCTTGGTATTTTTATTAAGGGGCTGTTTCTAAATCATTAACAGATAAATTTTGTTTGATAAAAATAAAATTTATTTTTTAATGATTTTAAAACCTTTTGAATGATTTTGATTTTGCATCATAGGCTTCTATTAACCATTCAGCGCCCTAATTTCGTTATAAATAATTACCAAACAATTATATTTCAATTTACATTATATCATGAGTCTCCTAATTATTCTGCACTAAGAAGGTGTTTGAGATTGCTTATTTAAAGCCACTTATGTTTTTCTACAAAAGCACTTATCAACTTATTATAAGTTAGAAGAGTTTAACTTCTTTAAAAACTTCTTATTACCGGTTTATCCCAAACTCTTCTAAACCATTCAGCAATTGTCAAGCAGCTCCTAGATAATTTGCGACTTATTTGAGATCGATTCAATTAAAACTTGCTTAAACACTCGACAGGAGTAGGCTCGGCTTGAACTCAGACGTGGCTTGACATACTAACAAGTCAAGTAGAACCAAGTTACTCGATATTCAACTCGAAAAGCTCATGATACCTGATTTTTTATACATAATTTGTAGAATATGTCAAAATTTATTAATAAACTTACCTATAAGGAAGAAAAATGTCGTATATCGGTAACAGATCTTAGAGTTCTTTTTGGGTGTGTTTGATATACGAGATTAGACAAAACAAATAATCGTTGTCCAATGTTTGGCACTACATTATACCAGGAAAGAACGTGATCGAGGGGCAAAAAACGAATTCTCTTAGGTGAAACAAAAATATAAACTGACACGATTTGTAAACTATTAAAACTAGCCCTATGCAAATTAAAACCCTAAAACCTTTCACCCACCAATCCCAATCTGGCAAATCTGACTATTCCCGTCCGAATACCAAGTGCACGTCATAGGGTCTTATAACAATAACGTGCAAATAGATCATATCGACACATTGCGACATACAATCACTTACGTATTCAACACTGTACCACAAACATCACTTGAAACTTTTAGTTCCCAGAGTACAAAAAAGCCAAGAAAAGTTGTAAATCGAAATACTAGCATGCCTAAATTATGCCCTTTTCGTCCTAAAGTGTAGACAACACATTAATATCCGTTACGAAAGCTAAGGAGATAATTCATAGCATTCGATAAACCTAACACGCTACTTACGCAACTCAAAAGGGTAGCAGTGCCAGCATCGCTAACGAGTATGCTATCATACCTGCTTTCAAGATGATACAATCACAAAAATGGAGCAGGAGATTTGTCGCGTTTGACTTTCACACTTTCTTTATGATCTGCACAACATCCTCATCTTCAAGCTCATGTTCCTGCCATTCGGAATCATTGTAAGAAAAAAGAACCCGAGCACAAAAATAAGATGCACTCCAAGTCCTTGGGATGTTGAACAGAATCCCGACCCATAGGATTTCCCCTTTCCTCTTCCCATTCTGACTTTTGTAGTATGCGTATTAAATGCACCCTTGATGACAAGGTATTGGCATAATGGCACATTTGGCCTAACTAGGGGTGTTAATAAGTCGAGCTTTTAACGAGCCACTCAAGATTGAGTTGATCTCGAACACACACTAAAACCTCGTTTAACTTAACAAGTCAAGCTCCATAACACCAATATTTGACTCGGCTCGTTTGGAATCTTGATTAAATTTTTCGAGCCGAGCCATTCGAACATACATGTTTTCGAGTCAAACATGTGCATATGTTCGTAAATCATCTAATCGAAGTCAAAAAAATTATTGAGGTCGAGCCACTAAGCGAGATAATTGATCTTGAGTTCAAGCCCATAAACCAGTATAGAGCTCGAGCCCTACAGCATAAAAGTTATTCAAGCTTGCGCTCAACCTCAAACCTGGTAATATTTTCTCAAGCTGAGCTCGACAAACCTACAACTCGACTCGACCTGTCTCGTTAACACCCCTAGGCCCAACTAATCAATGGGGCAATGCAAAGTGCCCCTTCACATACCCATACAAACCTTAGACCCCCTGGCCAAAGGAGTAGCCCCTAGGGAGTTGATGGCTAACGTATGTTTCCAACTAAAGACCTCTGATATAAACCCTTACTCAGTATGCCAACTGTTTGAGGTTTGCAACACGATCCATTGAGTCATAGAACACATAATCAGTAGCAATAGGGGGGTAGTAAAGACAATTTACCTTGCCAACCCTTTGTGGCTTGTGTTTTGCACTAGACCCCCACACCAGTGCACTGCATCAGATCAACAACAAAAAGTAAGTGAAATAGAAATGATAGCATCATATGAAGTACTCCCTCTCTCCAAAAAAGCACAAAGTTTGACATTACATATGGTCTAAAATGCCCCTTAACAAGAATAAATTAAAGAAAACTTGTGGGCACAAAATTTGATGTAATACTGCAACCCTTTTTTCTGAGAATCAGTGACTTGTGAATTGTGATAAGATAAAATATTGTAAATCCAGGAATGCAGAAAGCAAATGTAAAACTTAAGAGTTCTTACTACCGATACATTATTACTTTTTTTAGTTTTATGAAATTATTGCAGAAATTAGAAGCTCCATGCAAGCCAAGTAGGAGAGAGAGCTTACTATTTAAATTGCTTAAGCATGTCCTTGTGAATCCGATTGCAGAAATCCTCGACAGTTTTTCTTTTGGATGAAAGAATTACAGGGTCCTCATAGTCTGGATTCATCCCTTTGGGTTTGGTGTAAATGCGAGTCAAACTGAGATATTCCCATATCATCTCGAGCAGACCATCAAGATTCCATTCCAAGTGAGCACTGAAACAAATAATCTAAATTAGAAGAAAGCCACTGTGGTGAAAACCATACGATGAAAACAAAAGGCAAAGTTGCAATAAACAAATTAAACAACCAGCTTTGGTAAACGACAAGCACTATCAAGTGAACACAACTAGAGGTTATAGAATTGTGACCCACATATACCCTTTATACACAATAGAAAGGAGTCTTTCAAATCTTATTTTGAGTGAATTCTTATCTATGAAACAATGAAACTACTAATTCAGAAAAATAATTACATCAAAATAAGGTAGTACCATAATTTTAGTTCAAATATTCACATAAATATAGAGATAATTATATTTTATGTATATAAATTAATGTTAATGTTAGGCAACACAACCAGCATCATCAGCAGGAAGGCCGGAAATGAACTCAAAAATTGTATTAAGTGATGCAACACAGTAAGAAACATCACCCAAGGTTTTGGAACTTGAATGGCGTCCTTTAATACTGATTCTTCTTCAAAGCCAACTTCATACTTAGGCTATGTTTCGCAAACTAGCTCATAAGCGCTAGTAGTTGGCTGAAAAACTAGTTGTTAGCATATAAACTAGTCACGTTTGGTAAAACTAGATAACATGGTAAATGACCTAAAAACATAAGAGACATTTACATAAGATGTAAAGGGGAATAATTGAAAAAGGTGAAGAAAACACCGACAAGCTATCTGAAGTAGCTTTTCAGAAAGCCAGGTTATGGCTTACCAAACGGGGCTTTTTCAATATCCTTAAAAACTATGCTAGCTTACGGTTGCCAAATATGGTTTTCGGACAGAAAGAACATGGTCAAATATAAATTCAAAGCACGGAACAATCTTTACCTCTCCACTGACTAGACTCATTTTCCACCTACACAATTATATAAACAATAACTGAACATTGCGTTCCTTTTTTGGAAAGTCTCAGGTGTAGACAGAATACCCAGTCTAGGATTTAAAATGGATTTTAAGAGGTAAAAAAATAAAGGAGGAAATGATGTGCGTACACATCCATCATAATAGTTATCATCAAGACATTCACAGCATAATAATGGGTACTATAAAATAAGTACCTGACGGGACAGTAGTGAGGAAGTTTATCCAATATCTCAAGCTCTTCAAGTGTTATTTGATCTATTTTGTTGACAACATAGATGCAAGGCGTATATATCCTACTCCCTTCGATAACATCTATGAGATCATCAGCAGTTGCATCAAATCTAAGAGTCACATCAGCATTATGTATTCTGTATTCACTACATATTGCCTTCACTGTTTCGAGGTCCAGATGTGTATTAGCAACCGTTGACGTAAAATTAATCCCACCCTTTTCTTTTTTCCTGAAGGTCAGATTTGGGGGCTCCTTATTTAACCTGTAACGATATGAAACAGATGAAGAACAAGCTTGATGGGAAAAAATGGTTATAGGACCATAAGCAGATAAATGTAGCATATATGATTAGAGTGCAAGAAATAAATTACAATTATCTTGATGAGCATAAGCAGATAAATGTAGCATATATTTGAAACGACTCCTTCCACATTTATGCATTACTTTGAATAAATGTAGCAAGGTCCAAATTACACAGAAGATATTCCATTTTAGCATTTAGTACAAGATGCCACAATATTTCTCTCTTTTAAAGCTTTTCCAACCATGTAAATCATGAGAGATGAAACAATTATCTGAAGAAAACATTACTGGGTTAAAACGCTTACCTTATGCCAAACCCTTCGAGCTCTTTTTCTATCAGACGTTTGTGGGTTATTGGCTTTATGGCATCCAGCACAATCAGTATACAGTTGCATGTCCTAGCAGTGCTGATAACCTAGATAAGAAGAAGACTTTCTTGTTCACTTGATACACTAACTAGATTAATCACAAAAAAAGAACATCGTAATGATTACCAAGTTCCACCATCTCTCATGTAGAACTAAATGAAACGAAAAAATGGTGGCAAAACATATAATGATTTAATATCTCACATGATGAATATGATAAAAGAATGCAAACTTAACAGACTGTTATGTGTCATGGAACAGTCATAAAGAAAAAAACAGTGAGACTACTATTACTTCATCTTTATAATTAATACACTTTTGACAGGTCATGAGATTATGCTTCAATGGACAACATAGTTTTCTTTACCTATACCATACAACAGTGGAAGTTAATTCTAAAGTGATGAAGATGCATCTTCCCTTGATCTCCTGGTTCAATCTTGGATGCGTCTCTAATCGGTGGTTTCAGGCACTAACTATGGCATTCATTTACCTTGTCCAATATTGCAGATTCATATGACACCCTATATTTCCGCTTATCTGTTTTCCAGTGGGGTTAATCATCATCCAATTTTCTCTGAAGTTGCACCCAGCATGTGCATTAGGATCTTGACATACTGTGTGGTATAAATTCACCAGATTCACTCGTTGCCACCAGCTTCAAATTTGAAGTTCTACTATTGTGGCGGTGGTTTATTCAAAAAGAACACTTAACGTGTTATGTTGTTCGACTTTTGATCATTTTGTCAATTCTTTCTTATTGTGATAACAAAGATTTAGCTTGAATTTCCAAGATATTTCCGCAAGTGGTCTACCGTTTTGATACCATTGTGATTTTGTTTGTTACTTTACTGTCGATACCTTACCTATTTCATTGAACTCTTATCAAAACATTAGCATTTAACGTTATATCATCCCTCCCACAACCCACCACACCCCCATGTTTCTCTCTTTACAGAACTATTTATTTGACGCAAGGATTTAATACCATTTTATACTTATAGGCAGATCCAACACCATGTATAACAATAGCCCAAACTTGCAGAAATGAACATAATCATCCTAGCAACAGGGCATATGGTTTTCTTGTAAATAAATATTTTGATTTAAAGTTTTTTTGCAAGAAACAAGCATAAATACGTCAGAAATATGCTACAAGACAGACCCTGCTTTAACTGCAAGAGGTGAATTAGTTATTAAAGCAATTTCACACAACACTGCTTAACAAAGAAAGGTGAAAGAATATGCACATGATTCAAGCAAACTATTACAATCTTAAATAACAACCATTCACAGATTACCTGCCTTCCTCTACCCTTTCCATCCTTAGCACCCTCAATGATACCAGGAAGATCCAACAACTGCCAACAAAAAAAGCAAAGAATAAATAATGAAAAATAATATACACCTGAAATAAACCATAGAACATGGAACTAGAAGAAAAAATTAAGGCACCAGTAGAAGACAAATACTATACAACATCCCCTTCACTAAGTAAAAAGAAGAAAAGAAAAGGAAATGCTAGTCAAAGATATGCTACAACACCCAAGTATTCTAACGTTGATGTAGTAACACGCAATATTTCCTTTCTATAACACACCCACCAAAAAAGACAAGTAAAACAGAACAAGAAGGTACATAAAATGTACTCAACACACAAGCTCTCTTGAGTAGATTAAGACCTTCATGTCCTATAACCCAGGTAGAATCTTCTTATGCTGCCTACATGAAGAAACTACTGAATAATTGATGAGATCAACCAGCTTCTTGTACACAAAAAACTAATCTGCAGAATAGGCCATTGGAATATTCTTTAAGAGATTATTCATGTTGAGCATATAATGGTTGAAATGATGCAAAAACCATGACGTTGAAGAAGCTTCAGCTTCAGAACAGAAAAAGGCAATATGAGAGGAGGTGGAGTTTGGTTAACGAGTGTACCAATTCAAGCAAAGAAGATATGGTTGCATGTTAACATGCATCGGGGGCCAAAAGATCAAGATCTGACATCGCTCATAGAAGAAAAGTAAATCAAGAAGGAAGGGATTAGCTCAGCTGAAGCAACACTCTGATTATCAAGCCAATAAATTAACAGAACATACAAGAGAAAGCGAGGGCACTGAGCGGAGATAAATACAAGGGATGACAGAGATAACATACGGTACACAGTATAGGTAAGATAAATATTTTGGAAACGGAAAAGAAAGAAGGTATGGTTGAGATTTAACAAAAGTTAGGAGCATTTGACGACTGGTAGTCTGGAATAGAGAACAATAAAAACCGCTTTCTAAGTACAAAAGCAAACAGGCCACTCAAAGAGCAATTATTAGCGTCTCCGAACGTCTTAAATAGCATAAAAAATTAGGATGAGGTTTTTCCAATTCCCATAACTTAACTCTCATCATTTGCAGGTACTGTTTCATCAGTTCTAGAAAAAAAATTCAACTTCTACTTGGACAAAACTTCCTGGTTCCAATCTATTTACGCGTTCCCATAGTGTCACGTTTAAATAAATTACACTTCAAAAGCATCAATATCACAAGTCCTGAATATAGGTATAGCATATTTTTAACTACTAAATCAAATTATGCAGAAGTAGACAGGAATTATTTAAGGTGGTACAGTTACAGAAAGTTCACATGCCAATTTAGTGGCCATTTTCTTAATCCCACTCTACCATGTTCATACATTCTCTTTTTACAGCTTGCAAACATCTAAAAGCAACTTGACATTGGCTCACATGCACCTTGTAGCCTGGGGAGATGATGGAAAATAGATGGTAATGAAATGAGTGACAAAGCTAAAGGCTGTATACAAATATGAAATATCTATTTTCACATGAATAAGCAATCATAGTTCACAAAAGAATGAAGGTCTGAGAGATACACATGCATATGGTAGATCAAGTATCACACCTGAACACAAATATAAGTACCTGAATTTTAGCTCCTCGATAAGTGATAACACCTGGAATGCAGGTGAGAGTGGTAAACTCGTATGAAGCAACCTGACCACAACATAATACAATGGGCCTTAGGAATGCCAAAAAGACGTTGAACAATAATCAGGTTCTCAATAGAGTCAATTATATCATATAGCTGAAACCCCTGCTTTAAATTATATATTTTTAATTCTGTTATTATTAACAATTATTTTGCTGACCAATAGATAATGACGGAACAATACAGATAAAAAGTAAAAAATTTGCTAGGGATTGCAACTTGGTTTTTTGTTAATGAAGTTGTTGATATTTGAAACGAAAGGAAATCATTTACTACAATTGTGTCGCTTCTGTAACATCCCACTTCGAAATTCAGTTTTCAATAAGTATACAACAAGCAACCATTCAGATATATACAAACATTAGTTACTATGTATTCATATAGGCCCAAAGGCAGGATAGTTTCTGGGCAGGACAACAATAAATTTTGTAACATATCAATATTTCATTTCCGAACAATGGTCAAAGCGCATGCTTTCAGTGATTAAAAATCTTACCTGAAAGACAAGTAGATATAGGTTTACTGATAGCAATTGTTGCATACATATATACTAAGCACATATTTCAGATGTTCAATATTTTATAGTTGTGATAATAATAAGACTGATAGTTGAATAAATAAAATAGGTTTATTGAAAATAAGAAACCTTGTGATGGGTGTGGGTTTCCACAGGTAAAATGGAACACCTAAAAAAATTGGCAGAGCCAGGGTTCAACCTGAAAGAGCTCAATCCAACAAATACCATGAACAATTTGAAAACATATGAGAAGTAATGGCACATTATTATTAATGAATATACAAAGTTACAAACATAATGTGTTTCAGACATCACTTCGTAAATTTTCCAAATACCACAAAAACAATTTATTTCTTCCTGCTGCATATCCGCCTGATTATAAACAGCACACAAAAAGAGATTATATACAGAAATATGTACCTCTGAAAAAGTGCCAGTTAACTTGTTTAATAGCGTTGATTTCCCAACAGAAGGGAAACCCACAAGACCAACCCTTGCATCTCCACTTTTTGTAACATCAAAACCTTCTCCAGCACCACCACCTCCCTTTGTTGTAGGGGTGAGAAGCTCCCTTCGCAATTTTGCAAGCTTAGCCTGGCATCACAAAAATCAACTCAACCATTTCAGTTCTGCAGAATGAAGTAACACAGGCCCAAAAGCAGATTACTAAAAGTAAATAACACATATTTACCTTCAACAATCCCAAGTGATGTGCAGTTGCTTTATTCTTTTGGGTCTTGGCCATCTAAGAGGATAAAAAAAACAAGGCACTCATCAACATTCAACCCTTTGAATACCATTTATACCAAACCTGTTTGAAAGTATGGCCATAGCATATAGATTCCAGGTTGAAACACCAATACAATTCACATGCTCGGCATACAAAAGAATCTACATGCTATATAGCATGATGCATCTCCTCAAACTACTAGAAAAGGTAATAATAACATGCTACGTAACATAAGCAATTTGTCTTTCAAAAAAAAATATATATTGCAATCAAACAGGGTAAAGAGCGATTATCACCAAAATCAAATGTCCTATGTAGCACCAAATGAAAGTACAACTTTTTAAACCACTCAAGGATACCTCTTCTTGTATGCTTTCTGATAGTTCCAAGTTTATAAATCAACAGTGCTAAAAAGTACTTAGCATTTATAGCTCCTATACAAATGCATTGAGACTAAAAATCTAATTAACTGGATAACTTCTAATATGAAGTTCATTGGAGCAATTCATAAAATCATTAAATGTAGGCCCTCCATACATATTATATAACAGTTAGACCCAACTTCATATATTTTAGCCTTTTACTCGCATAATAGAATCCAATAGTCTTTTCGGCTCTTCCTTTTTCAATTTTGCCGGGGGGAGGGGGCGGATTTTTCTTTCAAAATGAAACCTCCAACATAGCTTAAATTACCAGCTTAAAAGAATAACCTCAATATCTGGACATCCACTTCTCCATTTCAGATTTTCAGTAAAACACTTGCAGGTCCAAACAATTTACAAAGATGCTAAAATTCTAATTACCTATACAGCTCTTAATATGAACGGAAGTTCAGTGAAACAACTTGTAGGAACCGTTAAACTGTAACTTCTCCATCCTCCAGTCTGTAATTTGTCATGCTCCATATTTAATACAATGTTTTCCCTAATCTGGAGTTTTCTAAATATAAAAGTCCAATTTGAACCCATAGTCATCAAATAACAATGTTTCACACACCTTGCTCCATCAGGTTTATTTCATTTTAAAAGGAGTAAAACCAGCAACTGCAATCCCCCCCCCCCCCAAAAAAATTGAATTTAACATGTGGCCTGTATTTAATATTATTTGGCTGTATTTTTGGAGTACTACTAAAACATTTCTATTAATTTGTACAAAGTCAAACATGCAATTAATATGTATACATGCAGAAGTCACCCAAAACCAATACAAATAGAACCTTAAAAAAGCATTTTTAACATTTCTAATCATGCCATGATCAGTTTATAGAACTTATAATTTACAAATATTGAGATAAGCTAACCTTTTGCTAAATAACATGTGCCCTGAAAAGACCTTACACTTGTTCCATCAAAAAAAAAATACCACAAGATAACAGCTCATTATTAACATCTATCCTGATCCATATCTTCCAAAAATACACATCTAGAGTAGCCCTCTAATATGTACTCTTCAAATGATCAACATAGAATGAGTACAAAATAAGCAAGCTTAATGGGGACAATTTAGCCAGCTTTGAGTGAGATGATGTGTGTCTAACCAATTTGCTGACCTTAAATACCATGAGCAAACACATAAATCATAATGCTACCTGAGGTTGAAGCTAAGGCACACTGGCCAGTAAGGTGGATTTGAAACTTACAGAGGGAATAAAACTGGTACGGTAGTAAGAGGAACTTGGATCTAACACTTTTGAATGTTCTCCATTGTATTATAGCTTGACTACTCAGTATCTTCCTTTGACACATCTATCTTTTGTCTTTTAAAACAGCTAATTTCTATGAAGGTGCAATTATTTGTTTAGTTCAACGATACACTAAGGAATTATACATCAAAATCCTGCATTGAACAATGAGCAGCTTGATATCTACTGTAGGAGCAATGCTATGAAAAAATTCTAATAAGCATGGGTGTTTCTTTGATAATATCTTCTGTTGCCAAATAATCTCAAAAACTGTAACTCCATTTTAGTTTGCTTATAGCATGTATATAGCTGAGATTCTACCCATGAGATTAACAAACTCAAGTTGAAACTACCACAAATAATCAAAACTTCCCACATTCCTAACGCATTTACAAGAGAGTAGAATTTGCACGCTTCAAATCCATAGCAGTAAATAGCAGAACAAGCAAGGCACAGCAATACATTCACACTTTGAGAGCCTCATTTTCTACAGTAGTTTGACATAACTGAAGAGAACAAGTAAGAGGAGTAACACGATTACATTTCTAAGAGCGCCTCAAAATCTATCAAATTAACTGAACAATTGCTCCAATCACGATTGAGTCCTCCAATCATTCCAAAGAAAGAGCCTCACTTTGACCATCAAGTTCAACATAGTACTTTCCAAACAGAAATATAGTTTTGATTTTATTACAAATGGACAGTGCCTATTCAAGTTGTAAACTTGTAATACATGAGATAATATTCAAATATAGTTATCAAATATTTCCCAAAATTGTTCAAAATCATACAATACTCCCACCATTCAGAAGGTCAGTCTAGCTCTTTCTTTGAAATCAGATAGATGTTTCTTCTCTTTTTTCCTTAGCACAATATGCATTCATGATGATGGAGTAAAATCAATACTCCCACCGTTCAAAAATAATAAAAAGCCACCTGTGGGTTCTTGAGATTAAACCTATTCAGGGTCATCCTTGGGGGAGTGCGGGACGGGCGCTTACCCAGGGCCCAAAAATATTAGGGGCCAATATCTTATTTAAGTGTACAACCAACCATTCCTTAAGCTTTCAGATCATAGGTCGCATGCATTATTTATTTTATTGGATCTCAATGAATCATCTTTTCTTCCTAATTAATCATTTGCCTTTTTGGCCAGAAAACCGTATAATTTTCTTCTCTCATTGACTCTCTCGATTACTTTCTCCACATAAATTCTCTCTCTGTATCTGAATAACACATTTTTTGTTATGTCCTAACAAATTTTTACCTTCACGAACCATAGTAGATGGTCAAACTCAAATCTATATTTTAGAATTTCAAAACTACCCTTGTTTTTTCACACATTCTTGATTGTTAATTACTAATTAGTACGTGAACTTTAAGTACTCTCCTATCTATAATAAACAAGAATAAGGTTTTTTTTTCCTCCATGAATTATTATAATTACTTGTATTAATTATTTTTAATAACAACAACGTTTATTGAATATCTTTTTTTGGTACTTGTCAAGGGCCCTTGTTTTTACATATGCCATGGCCTATAAAATGCCTGAACCTATTAGCTATCAAGTATTTGATGCGGATTTTGTAATATTTACACACGCAGCCTTCCTACACAAAGTATGGGCATCCAAATTGTGCTTTTGCTGGTGCAGATGGCAAATTTGTCCAAAAACTTCACTTTGAAGAAAATTAACCCGTTTCATATCATTAGTCAGCAACTTTTACTAGGAGCTGATGCATCGATTAACATGGTAAGTTAACCAGGCCGGTAATCTTGAATAAATAGTTCTACCGCAACCCAACGCAGGGAACCAAAATCGAGTAAGAAGCAGACGCCATTACTAAAACTAATTTTGTATCACGTAAGGCGTAGCGATGTTTCTAGGGTTGGCGAACGACTATCTATACAGTTTGTAGATGAAAATGAAAACTGATAAATGGAAAAGGGATCATACCTCATCTTCGATATCTTTGATTTTCTGCATAACAGTCGCCATTGTTGAAGTGTATAATTAGAGTAGCTGTTCCGAAATGTATATATAGCTTCAACAAACAGGTATCAGGGGAAGAAGGAAAGAGGCTTCTAGAGTAACTGAAGTCGCAGGTGAGATGCCCACAAAAACCCTATTTTTTCCAAAATACGGTGATGATGGATGGTTTCGGAGCGATTATACGATTAATAGGATGATTTGTGTAATACAATGAGATATACTCACATTTTATTATTTCGTTTTTTTTTTTTTTTACCTTTGTCGAAACCATAATATGGTTTACTTAGTTTTGAAAAAACGATAATATTTTTATTTTTGAATAAAATATAAATAAATATATTGATATTAGTATCAAACTAATTATTTAAAAATTTTCTTTTTTTTGTATTTTTTTTAATTTATTTTTTTATTATAACTTAATTTAGATTTAATAACGAAGTTATTTTTATTTAATATATATTTTTTTATAAAAATAATAATTAAGTATTTTATTAAAACTCAATAATTATCTTAATTATATTTTAGATTTTTATATTTAAAATGAAATTTTTATTCTTTATTTAATTATGTTTATCTGTAGTTAGTTACATGCATTCAAACATAGAGCTTTAATAAGTTGTATTTACGTACAATTTACTTGTAATCTTGAATTTAAGTAATATGCACAAATAAACAATATTTCATATATAAAAAATGATTTTTAAAAGGTTTTGTCAAATGCTTTATAATATTAGAATAGATAATTATGAATTTGAAATAAATACAAAAATTGATGTTAAAAGTAAACCTTATATAATTACTAAGACCCGATTGGTTTGCAAGAATTGATTGAATTTGGGATTTGAACTTTAAATCCATTTTAATTTCATGTTTGGTTTGTTGGATTATTTGGATTTAAAATTTTAGGATTTAATTGAAATCCTACAAACATATAATTTTGAAAGCATTAGGGAATGCTCGAGATTTCGTAGAATTGTATGAAATAAAGTTTTAAAAAATGTTCAAGACATTTGTTTTGTAATAATCGATTGATAAAAATGTAATTTAATTATTTTTCTAAATTTTTTTATAAATAATGAAATCCAATTTTATTCCATATACATTCCAAGTCAAATCCCTCTATGAGATTCAAATCCCTCAAAAACAATCTTATAAACCAAGTGGACCTTATAAGGGGCCGTTTGGTTTGCGGAATTTGATGGAATTATAATGACAAATTCTTTTGACCGATTCCCAATTCCTTTCTTTGGTTCATTTATTAAAATGGATGGACTCTTTCAAACTGTTGTCATCACATCCACACACCTCCGAGTCACTCACTGTACATCCCTACTACAACCATGTTACTACCATTACTGTCAAACCCCTAACTTAACCCCCACCACCACATCATTATTGTCGTTGCAACAGCTGTTACTCACCCCCAACCCACCATACCCCAGTCCACCACTAACCACCATACCACTATTGTCGCTATCATACCCACCCACTCCCAGCCACCATCCTATCATTGTCATCATCACAACTTCCACCCATCCCCACCGCCCCACCCCGCCCCTAGCCTACCCCCACCCCACACCACTATTGTCGTTTTCACAACCGCCACCCACTAGCACCCATACCCCTACCCCAACCAACCCACCACTAAACACCAATGCCACTATTGTTGTCATCATACCCACCTACTCCCAGGCCCTAGCCATCCGACCATTATCCCACCACTATCATCGTTACAGCTACCACCCTGTCACCTAGGGGTGCTCAAAAACCCGATGAACCCGACCAACCCAACCCGAATTTTTAAAAAAACACCCAACCCGAGGTAACCCGATGCATGATCGATAAAAAAATTAGTCAACCCGACCTTATTGGGTTGACATCGGGTCAGGCCCAAAAAAACCCGACCAACCCGATGAACCCGACCTTAACTTTAGCTTTGAATTATAGATGACAATCATGACATGACCAACCTCAACGTCAAGAAAGCGAAAGCATCGGGGTTGGAAACGTCTAAAACTATTGTTGTTGATTGATGTATTATCATTTGGTTTGAATATTTTTATTGTAATATCTAAATATTTGATGAACTTGCATATTATCTTGAATAGTCGGTCGTATTTCAAAGGAAAGTTTCCTTTATTTTTATGTGATTTTACATTGTTTAAACACAACCCGATCAACCCGACCAACCCGAACGGGTTGGGTTGGGTTGAACTTTTGTTTGGGTTGGGTTGGGTTGGGTTGAAAATTTTCAAACCGCCAACATTGGGTTGGGTTACTAAAACGGCTCCAAACCGATCAACCCGGGCCGTGAGCACCCCTACTGTCACCTACCCATACCCACCCACCTTATCCTACTCCAACCCACTGTCCAGCCCCCGCCCCTATCCCTACGCCACCTTATCCTACTCCAACCCACCAACCACCATCATACCACTGTAGTCGTCACAACTACCACTCACTGCACTACTTTGGCCCCATCGCCTTGCCCCGAATTGTCTGCCCCCACCAACCCCCACCTATGGAACAGGGGTGGGCGGGGCAGGAGTGGTAGGGCGATGTTTGGGTATGGGTGGAGGTGGGACGGGGTGATAATTGTGACGACGACAATAGTGATATGGTGGTTGGTAGGGTGTGGGCTGGGGCCATGGATGTGATAGTCCAAACAAAGGCGATTGTTCTAATTCTATTGAGATTTCATTCCAATTCCTACAAACTAAACACGTGGTCAAATCCTATTTTAATTCCTTCAAAGTCAAATTCTTTTGATAAATTTTAATTTTATCAAATTCCATTATGTGAACCAAACACCCCCTAAGATTAAAAAAAACAAATGTATTAACGGGAAACAGAAACAAAGCATATGAAACAAAGAAATCTGTAATAGATAAATAGTCAAACACCCAAAGTTCCAAAAAACCAAAGCAAACAGACAAAAAACAATCTAACGACAACAAAAGCAAAACGCAAAACATTAAAACAACTACTAGGATTTAAAGTGGTAATAACTGATACAAAATTTAAATTTTATGGATTTTAAAAATCAAAATAATGTTGTGATGTGACAATAGAGATAAATCTAAACATTTAAAATTATTTATCGAGTAAGGGGTTGTTTACTTAAATGCTTACCCGGTAAGTGTTTACCGTTAGGAGTCAACACTATAATTTATTTTAATGGGTAAGGTTGTAGTACATCAAAACGTATTTCATGCAACAATTTTCCTGGTAAGCGCTTACCCGGGTAAGAGTCGTCACCTTCACTTACCGGGTAAGACTCTCCATCCTTATCATCGTTCTTACCGGGTAAGATTCTTGCCCCTTGCCATGTTCATCCGGTGAGGAAAATTACCCGGTGAGTACTTACCGGGTAAGCTTTTAGTAAACGGCCCCTAAATCTCTCTTCCATAACTTATCTATCTTTTTGTAAACGTTCATATTTAAATAGTTTATATTCTTTCTAATTTATTATTTAGTTTACACAAATTTTAATATATAGAGAGATATGATAGACTTTTTACAAACTCAACCATTAATACCAATCATATAAATTAATTAATTGAGATATTTATAAAAATAATGAGTTTATTTATTATAATTTGGATATTTATGGAATATTATCATAATTCATTTCGGCTATGTTTTGGCAAAACAGCTGGTAGCTGATAAACAACTCATGTTTGACAAAACTATAATGTAAAATGACCAAAAAGATATCTTGAAAAATTAATCAATTATAATATTTTAAAATATAATTAAAACAAATCTTTAATAAAATAATATATTAA